GACAGTAGGTTTTATAAGAGACGTCCACGTGGCAAAAGCCCGACAATGAGATTTACTCAGAGGATTTAGCCTTTAATTAGTCACCCAGATGTAGGGGAGGCCGAATAACGCCTCGAGTGGCACAGATGGGGTGGCAGAGGTCGAGTGAAATATGTGAACCAGGGAGAGGGCAAACGGAGCTTACGGGGAAAGAGAGACTGTGGTAAGACCTATGGAAAGAGTACTACGTAACAATATAGCAGACTTTGATCAACATTATCAGCACAAGGATTAAGGGGGGTGAGAAGGCCAGCGTGGAGTGCAGAGGGTTCTTATGAAAGCCGCTCAAAGGGGCACATCGTACCACATTGAATTAAGCAAGTAAAAAATTATGACAGTGAAGGCGTGAAAGGAGGATATAGGAAATGTAAATAGGCCAGGGCAGAAGAAGAGATGCCATAACTGTTTAGCACATGTTTGGTCAAAGGATCGGCTTCAATTGTCTCTTTGACGAATTGTAATATGGTGCTACGAATAGTAAAACCCACTGACGATGCCACCGAAATGTCTGGGAATGTAATACGTCCATGGTCCGAATTTGGAAATGATTATGCATACAATGGACTCCGGACTAGGTGTGTTCCTCTAAGTCTTCATACCAATATGACCCAGTTGCGAAAACAAGGTCAGACAACTTCTATTGGTTTTTAATTTGTAAAATATCAGTTTCTTTTGAAGAGGCTGCATCTTGTTAGCTTAGGAAATCCATCTCCTACGTTTGTCATTACGAATGGCTGTTTTATTTATCTTGCATTTACTATATAACTTTAAAAAGCTGTTAATATTATAAGTAGAGTATTCGAAGCCATCCATAGAACGCACAGCTATAGTAAAATAATTTCGGCTTTCTTGTTTATCCAATACCAATAAATTCTCGCTTGTTATTGAAAAGCACAGCAGCCGAACCCATAAAATTTAGATATTTTTCAAAGCGAAAGGCTTTGTACCGCGAACATAACATAATGATATAAAAAAAACGAGCTTTCAAAGAATTATCATTATTAAGGCTAATGTGTAAATGAACTCTTCGAATAGGGGAACAAGTTCACTTTTAAAAACGTTTGTTAAAAGTGCTATCTAGTTTAACAGACTGTATTTTTCCACTGTGCTAATTCCATTAGCAAAGGCACATGCATATTCAGACGATTCTTTAGATGATTCCAATTCCTTCAATTAAAATGATAAATAATGCGCAGAAAAATTATGCCAATGAAGCTCTAAAAATAAGAACGACTCTGAGGATTCGTGGGTAGAACCATTGACTCTAAATGGCACTGCCTCACTTATCTTCTAAGTACTGGGATGCGGTAAAACAAAATTAAAGTTTAGTCCTATGTAAGTAGAATATATATAATGAAAATACAATTTAATCCTTAAACTCTCACAGTAATATTTTCTAGTAGTGAAAATATCATGAGAACGAATAACTGCTCAGATCAGGTGATGAATATCGTAAAAAAATCTAAAACAACCGCGTGTAAAAATGGGATTACTGAAACAAAAATTTGTCTAGCTAAGACGAATTAAGAATGATTGATTCGTAAAATAACTATCGATCCGTAGGCAGTTTAAATGTCCAATTACCTGTCGCCAAAAGGCTGGCCAGTGATAATGCATGATAGGCAGTATCAATCCAGCGGTCCAAATGCAAGCAGATTTGAATGACGTCGCCCACGCTTGCCAGGGCCTCTGCAAGACCGCCGTCATCCCGGAAGCTGCACCTACGATGCCAATTCAGACCAGGAGGTTGGTTGGTTGTCCGATCAGTCCATCGCGATGCACCAACCATTGAAGCATCAGCTCGTTGAGAGCCGAGGAGTCGAGGCAGAACAGAGTCCGCTGATGTGGCCTGTAGGGCTGCAGAGGCAAGACTGGATAAGGCATGCATTAGGCCGTCCATAAACTTTAGCGGAAGAATGGATCGGGATCCGACACAGAGCAGAAGAGAACTGAGTCCATACGCGAGGGATGCAGATGCAGATAATACAAGCAGAATATTAGTTAATTCTGCGATATATATATATATATATGAAGAAAATATAATTTAAATTTTTTAAAACAGGAAAAAAAATTTAAATAAAATATTAAAAAAAAACTTTTTTGAGAGATGAACTTTTACCTCGTAAAATATTTTATAAAACCCTCGAGTAATATTGTACACGCAATTAATATATATTTGCATGAGTTATTTAATATCCGGAAATGTGGAGATTATGAATATGCCCCAATTAAACTCAAAAGATAAGACAATTAATCGATTATAAGAATAGTAAACTTGATAATGGTAAGGAGTCATCAATGGCCTCGGTTGATAGTTTAAAAAAGAAATAGAAACAATCGTAGTAAATTTCATGTGATATCGCTATGACGGAAGCCTGGTTAGGAAGAGATGTGCATGAGGCCAATAAATGCAGGATAGCTAAGAACTGATTCACCATAAGATTCTGACATATTTAGGGCTGGAATTATAAATTTCGAAGAAG